GGATAGAAAACGTCAAAAAAGACTTTAAAAAAATTTAGCAAGATCCGACCCAACCAGGTTATGAAGAGCAAATATATATATATATATCGACATATAAAGAAATAAAAAAAAAATAAAGTTGTGTTGTTTTGAAACCAAAAAATCCCATCTTAAATACTGTTTTTCTTTATTTGCTGTCGATCTAATCTAAAAAAAAAAGTTTGATATGCGAAGTAAACTCGTGGCTTATAAAATTGGCATCGTGGCATGTGGTGACTGGCTAGGGAAATTGATTGTTGCACATCGTTTTATTATTACATTAAACATATATATACCCCATTGATTTTCTTTAATTTTATTGTCATACTAATTTATTTTCTACACTGCCCGGTTAGTGGGCTTTGTTTTTCTAAGCTTCAAGGCTAAGCTTGTTTCTTCTTGTGGCTTAAATGAACTTTTTTTTTTCAAAAATCGATTATTCCGATTTTTTCTTCCTTTTTTTTTTTTTCTTTTCATATTATATCAGATAACCCATTTGAAAATTGTGATCTGACGGTGATTTTTTTTTTTTTACAGCGTAGATTTTTAAACTATACGCAAATTAATATATATAGCAAATGAGCATCCTTAAGGGTGCTTTGGAAAGGCTTCTAGCCGAGGCTCAATCATCAAGGCAAAAAGAACTTGAACAAGCTTGTACTACCGCTTTAGAGAAACTTCAACAAGAAATAAATTATATTGCTAAAAAGAAAGCTATAAAAGATGGAAAGTTAAAGGCAAAGTCAGAAAATGATGCCGCCGAAGTTACCCCACAAATAAACAATTCTGAAAATGGGTCAATACCAAATAATAATACCAAAAATAACGCACCGCAAACATCATCTTCTACCGATGGATCTGCTGGAGAAACAAGTCAAAGGGGTGCTGAAAAAGCTGCTGAGAAGGAATTAAAAGCAGCTAGCCCCACACAAAAAAGTTCTCCAAGCATACCGTCACAAGCTAATTCACGTTCATCAATCTCTAGTAGTTTGTTTGCTCGTGCTGGTGAAGATTTACCAAAAATTTTAGCCGATAATTATTGGCAACCATTCAGAATCGCTTGTGGTACTTCAATTCCAAATAACGTTCGTGTGTTAGCTTTAGATTGTTTACAAAAAATTATAGCTCATGGATTGCTCAAGGGATCTAAACCGATTGTTCCACCAAAGAATAGTATCACTAAGAAACGTGATCCCAAAGCTAAAAATCAAACAAATGGTTTTAGTGATTCTAATGATTTATCATTTATTGACATATCTGAGACTCCATTTGAAAATGATGAGTCTACTGATGGTGTTTCTACCACAAATTCTTCTACTTTTCCAAATCCGGCTCGATTAATTGATGATGTGGTTCATACAGTTTGTATAGGATTTATTGGTCCTCAAACTGATCAAACCGTTCAACTTCAAATATTAAAAGTATTGCTTACTCTTGTTACCACTGAACAATGTCCAGTTCATGGTATTAGTTTACTTAAAATTATTCAAACTTGTTGTAATATATATTGTTATTCAAAAAGTCAAGTAAATCAAGCAACTGCGAAAGCCGAATTAACTCAAATTTCAAATTTTATTGTTTCGAGGTGTGAAGAATTCGCACTAGAATTATCTAAAAGTGAACTTTTAAAAAGTAATTCTCAGATAGCAACTTCTGACGTTAGCCCTGTATCTAAAGATGATAAAAATGCTGACGAAATTAATGATGTAGATAATGACAAAGATGATAATAGTAAAGAAGATAGTGATGAAGGAAAAGCGATCGATGATGATGATGATGATTATGTGAATATAGAAGTTAATGGTGTTGATTCACCAGATTCTGTAGAGAATGAAAAGGTCATAAAAGCAGATGCTTCTGAGTCAAAAGAGCCAACAAATATTAACGGTGAAGTTCTTGTTACCAAGGAATCTAGTGGCAATGACTTTGCAGATGCTAAAATATCTGATCATTCGGATGATGTTATTGAAGTAATTAATATTCCTGTGGATCATGATGATAATAAAGATAAAGAGATTGATGGTGATCAAATGAATGGTGATCCTGAATCCTCTACAGTTAATGTAAACTTGGTACAAGATGACGAGGCAAAACCGGAAACGATTATAAGCGATACTACTGATAATGAGTTGACTAACAAAGAGCTTGAAGATGTTGAGATAGAGAAAACTGTGGAGCAATTTACAAAAGATGACCAAGTTAAAAATGATGTGAAGGATGAATCTTCAAAAGACGACCAAGTTAAAAACGATGTGAAGGATGAATCTTCAAAAGACGGCCAAGTTAAAAACGATGTAAAGGATGAGTCTTCAAAAGATGACCAAGTTAAAAACAATGTAAAGGATGAGTCTTCAAAGGACGACCAAGTTAAAAACGATGTGAAGGATGAGTCTTCAAAAGACGACCAAGTTAAAAACGATGTGAAGGATGAACCTTCAAAAAATGATCAAGTTAAAAACGATGTGAAGGATGATTCTTCAAAAGATATTCAACTTAATGACGGTAAGGCACAGGCAAAACAACCTTTAATACGACGGAGATCTTCTTTGACCGCTATGAAAGATCTAACAATTACTATACCAAAAAAACGAAACTTGAAACCAAAAGAAAAAATCTCAAAACGCAAATTCTTTGACATTTTACGAAAAGATCTATATCTGACTTTTAGGATGTTTTGTTCGTTTTCTTTGAGATATGAAGGAGAAGAAAATTCTCAAACAGATGAGATAAATATTATTCGAGGCCGATCACTGGTTTTAGAATTAATCTTATCAATGTTGGATAATTCTGGACCTGTATTTCACAATGATGAAATTTATATTAAGTTAATTCGACAAGCACTTTGCGTTTCTTTATCGCAAAACGGTGTGTCATCTAATGAACAACTCTTTGAACTTTCTTTGTCCAATTTTCTAATGTTGTTGCGTTATTATCGTGCACCGTTAAAGACTGAATTGGAAGTTCTATTTAATGAAATATATTTACGTTTTTTGGATATGAGTAACGCGACATATCTGCAAAAACATTTAGTATTGCAAGGTCTTATGAAGATATGTCAAAAATCCCAAATTCTCTTAGATATTTACTTGAATTATGATTGTGATATCGCAATGGTTAGTGTATTCGAGCGCATTGTCACTTCATTGTCAAAAGTTGCTCAATTACGTACAAAAATTCCAAGTAGTTCTGGTATGTCAAGTTTAATAGGTGGTGGTTCTGCAACTGCAGAATTGGTGGCTATGCAAGACAAAGTACTGAAAATTAAAGGTTTAAAATGTATGGTGGCTATTGTAAATTCTTTAATTGAATGGTGTAAAGATTTGGAACGAAGAAATGGTAATGAATCTACTCCATCACAACAATCATCGCAAAATCAAACACCGGATTTTATTGAAGATAAAACACCAGTTATTTTCTCAAAAAATCCTTTATTAAGTGTCAATTTTTCAACCTCACACTCCAATTCAAGTGTTAGTAGTATTTGTACTGATGATAATGAAGATAATCCTGCACAATATCATGAAATGATGTCACGAAAGCAAACTTTACGAGAAGGAATTAAATTGTTCAATGCGAAGCCGCAGAAAGGTCTTAATTTCTTAATTGAACACGGCTTTGTAAAGAACGATACTGATAGTATAATAGCTTTCCTCTTGTCGACTGCAGGATTAAATAAAGTGTCTATTGGTGAATATTTAGGAGAAGGTGACCAGGAATCGATCAAAGTTATGCACGCATTTGTTGATCGTATGGACTTTGCGGGTTTAGGATTTGTCGATGCTTTAAGGTCGTTTTTACAAACTTTTCGACTTCCAGGCGAAGCACAAAAGATTGATCGTATCATGGAAAAATTCGCAGATCGTTATTGTGAAACTAACCCTGATGTTTTTGCAAACGCTGATACTGCTTATATTCTCGCTTATTCTGCAATTATCTTAAACACAGATCAACATTCTGCCAAAGTAAAACGTCGCATGGATAAGAACGAGTTCATAAAGAATAATCGTGGTATAAACAACAACAACGATCTTCCTGATGAATTCTTAGGAGAAATATTTGATGACATTGCAAATAATGAGATCGTGATGGAAGAAGAACAGTTCTCAGAGGTGGCAAAAACTGCGATCAGTCATGCCAATGATCGAGAACGTCAAGAATTGTATGAACGCGAAATATCTCAGATGCAAAAAAAGAGTCAAGCACTTTTAAAAAGTAATAGGCAAGGTCAAACTCCTGCTGCTTGGCGAAGTGCATCACACTCAGATCACGTTAAACCGATGTTTGCTGTAGTTTGTTGGCCTTTAATGGCTACTCTCAGTCTTGTATTTGAGGAGGCAGATAATCCTTTATCGAATGTCAACAAAGGTCTTGATTTTTCCCAATCAAATCAAGAAGCAATCGAACTATGTCTCGAAGGATTTCTTGGAGCTATCCGAATAAGCAGTATATTTCGTATGGATGTAGAACGTGATGCTTTTGTTTCCTCTTTGGCCAAACTAACTGGTTTAAATCATGTCGATGAGATGAGACAGAAAAATGTAGCTGCCATTCGAACATTACTTTCTGCCGCCAATTCATATGGTGAAGGATTGCAATCTTCATGGCTTATAGTATTGAAAACTGTGTCTACCATGGAACGTTATCAATTAATCGACAGTTCTACAGGATCGGTTGTTTACAATGCGGAAGGAGTTAATGGATTGGATTATTCTACACAAAATGGTCGTAACGAAACATCTACTTCAAATCTGTCATTAAATTCTTCATCTACAACTCGTCAAAATACAAATGCAACACGTAATAATTCTATTAGCGGTTTGATGAAAGAATTTCAGTCTCAAAGCACGATAATTGCAATAGATAGAATTTTCACAAACAGCGTTAAATTGAGTGGTGATGCGATAGTACACTTTTTTACTGCTCTATGCGCCGTTTCTCTCGAAGAAGTTAATTCTTCAAGATCATCACCAAGAATGTTTAGTCTCCAACGGATAGTTGAAATTGGTAAGTTTTATTATGATGTAATTTACATTTTTTAATTCCATAAGGTAATCAACAATTTTATTATAGCTTATTATAACATGTCACGTATTCGGTTTGAATGGGCTCAAATTTGGAAGATTCTTCAACCCCATTTCGTTGCAGTAGGATGTCATACAAACCATATAGTTGCCACTTTTGCCATTGATTCTCTTCGACAATTAAGTATGAAATTTTTAGAAAGAGATGAATTGTCTCATTATAATACTCAAAGCGAATTTATGAAGCCATTCGAACAAATCATCAAGAGCAGCCCTTCCCCAAACATTCATGATCTCATTATACAATCAATTATTCAAATGATTTCTGCTCGCGCGAGAAATATAAAATCTGGTTGGAAAAGCATTTTTGTGGTATTTGGTCGTGCAGCGTCTGATGAAAATCCACAATTAGTAGAAACGACATTTGATGTTGTTAGGTTGGTATATCAGAAACATTTGGACCTTATAGGACCAGCATTTGTGGATTTTGTAAATTGTTTAGTGGAATTCGCATTTAACTGTAAAGAAAAAGAATTTGTCAACGAATCCATCAGGATGTTACAAGGCTGCGTTAAGGTTTTAGTAAAGGACGTGGACAATTTAACAAAGAGTGAACAGCGGAAAGAGAACATTATTATATTACCATCAACAGCTACACCAGAACAAGTTGCAGCATCCAAAAAGAAATTGCAGCACATCGAAGAAGAACAATTTTTCTTGAAATGGTTTCCTGTTGTATCTGGCCTTTCGCGTCTCGTAATTGATTCAGAATCTGAAGATATTAGGAATAAAGCTTTGGAAACACTCATTGAGATTTTGAAATCTACAGGACATTTATTTGAAATAAATTATTGGATTAAAATTTTTAGGAATGCTATAATTCCTATATTTGAAGATCTCAAAGAACCTACATTATCACAACAATCATCAACTAGTGATAGGAGACCTGAGGCAACTATAGAAATATGGGTTCAAACTATTCGTTCTATGGTGGAACTTTATGCACTCTTTCATGACATATTTGCTACAAAATCGGAGTTTTTAATAGAATTGTTAGATTTACTGATTGCTTTAATTAAACGTAGAAACGAAAAGCTGGGGCAAACTGGGATCCGTTGTTTCCACAATCTGATATCGAAAAATGGGTCGAAGTTTGATAACGTCACGTGGGGAATTGTTACAACAACATTAGAAGACATTTTTAAATGGACGACTCCAAATGAACTTTTGGAGTTCGAAATAACGGCAGTTGAAGTTGGTGACAATGAAAAGAATGATACAAGAAGTATAAAGAATGTTCCAGTAGGCGGTGGAACTCCATTAATGAATGTTCATTCTACTAACGGAACTAACGATTCAACAAATATACAGATACCTGATAATAATCCTCCGTCTTTCACACCTGACCAAAGTAATTCTAAAACTGATATAGATTTTACATACACAGTTATAAAGTGTGGAACTCAACTTATTGTTATCCAAACTGTTCAAGACCTTGCATTTAATGATAAAGGACAAGTTAGTTATCTTGTTCAAATGCCAGCAGAGTTCCGGAATAGATGGCTGAGATGTCTATATAATTCTTATAAATTTGCTCACGATTTCAATGCAAATCATGATCTTCGTCGGTCTCTCTTAAAAGCAGGATATGTTCAACAATTACCTAATCTTACAAAACAAGAAACTTTATCGTTATCTGTATTCCTCTCAATTCTTTATGATCTATATCGAACATTTGGTGATAGTGATCAAGATTTATTACAACCTTTGGTTGAGGAATCAACACTTGTACTTCGAAAACTCGTTAAATTAATGCACGAACCATTATCAAATCAACAACAGAGAGAAATGAACAATTGGTCACCATTGGTAATTACAGTTCTAAGAGAATTGTGCAAGACTAAATGGAATTATGGTAGAAGATATAGCGATGATGATATAAATGAAGATGATGATAATAATACAAATAGATTAGTAGGTCTAAGAAAACAAATTCCAGATTTTTATAGATTAGTAATTAAAATTATTGGAGTGGATAGAGTTGATGTTAGAGTTGCTATCCAAGAATTTTTGGAAAAAATTGGGGATGAATTCTTAAACGTTGATTAGAACTTATGTTTAGTGGGAATAATGTGTCATCAGTAAACATATTTTTGTTCTTAAAAATTTTTTTGATATCATTAATATTTAGTATAACCGAACATATCGAAATAACTCGATCATTAGACTATTTTTTATTATATTTTTTATTTATTACAAACCTTGATTTTAAAATGTTTGCAAACTTCTGTGAAATGGTGGGTATATTAGATAATAAGAAAACGTGCAAAAATTTTTTTTACAATTATTAGCAAGCGCCTTTTATTGTTATAAAATGCAATCTGTTGATCAGTATTGTAAATATAAATTAAAATTATCTAAACAAAATATATAATTTTAATTTTGTAATCAATATTAGTAGATAGGTAGTGCAACTAATTAAATAACAGCTAAACTTTTTTAATCTTTGATGAATAATTAATGTGTAATGTTATTAAAAAATTTAACCAATATAATATTAAAAAAAGTGTGAAAATATTAATTTTTAAAATATTTGATTTTAATTAAAAAATTTTTAAAATAAATAAATATTAAATATATATACTGTATATGTAAAATATAAATTTGATTATAAAACTTAAAATTTTTATAAAAATTTTTTTGCAAAATTTTAATATAATAGACAGTAAATAAATATTTATTAAAACAAATATTTTGCAGAATAATACAAATAAAGTAAAAAATATAACAAAATATAAGTTAAATTCCAACAAAAATAATAAAAATTAAGCAAAAAATATAAACAAAAAATAAAAAAAAAACCAAAAACCAAAATCAAGATTTTTTTTTAAGACTAGTTAATTGTACTATGAATCTATATTTATTAAAGCTTTGTTACTGCTGAAGACAATATGCAATAAAATCTGTAGCTTAATATCATGTGGTTGTTTTAATATAACTAAGTCATTCAAGTGTCTATATATAATTAGCTGCACTAATATAATAGTATAATAGCAGCTTAGTAACTAGAATGATCTTTGTAGCCTAATACTTGCTTAAAGTCTTGTCCAAAGAAAAAGAAAACTAGACTAAAAAAAAAATACAGAGGTATAGAGAAAAATAATAATAAAATATATATATTAGAAAAGGAGAAAATAAAAGAAGAATAGAAAAAGAAAAAACAGGTTATTTTACATCGAATAGTCACAATTATAAGCCTGTGTTGGATTTTATAAAAATTATACTCTATCTAAATTTTTTGTTTTTTTTTAATATTAAGGTAACCATTTAGGGGTCTAGCACGTTTTATTAACTTCGGTTGCGAATGTCAGAGCAGTCACAGAACTACCTCTAACTTTGTTACATTAATGAAAGTATATACTAGTCATATCTGCACCTTTTGAGTGCCTAATTAAGTAGTTCCCTATTACTAAGTACTATACAAGATGCTGTACCTATAACTCACTATTACTTGAGTTACCTAATTAAACCTTCTGATCAATTTAGTGTCATTAGATATTCTTCTCAAAGAGAAACTGCTACTAAGGTCCTTTAGGACTACTTTATTCTTGTGATAAACCTACTAAAGCGGTCTATGTCCCACATGTATTATCCAGATTTTTGGTAACTTACACCTAGGCCACAGCCAAGTACTTGCAGCTTTTTATCTCTGCTACCATTATCTACTCTGTATCCTTGCAAAGTTTACTCAAACCCCAGCATACACTTTACAGACTCACATCGACTTTCCGTTACCAACAATGCTTCAAACTCCCAATCCAAATAGCTCAGTGAGGGACCAGTGGGCGTTCCCTTGGTATTCTGATTAAATTCTTTTTCTCGTTTATACAGGGCACATCTCTATATTCTCACGGTCTGGTTGGTATTAGTGTTTTGCTAAATACCTGGTTCTCATCCAGTTTTACTGTCAATATCCGATTGCTGATAATCATTCTTTATGTAGTACTGTCAAAGATCTGTGCTACCTCTCTACTTGGGACTTGCCAAGTGGGCTTCTGTATGCCATGGGCCCAAGCCCTAGATTTATGTAGTTGCATAACTCATGCATTACACAGCCTTCCAGAACAAGCTGGTATAACCAAGGTTACAGATGCTACCACCCCTCAGGATATCACACAGTATACCGTAATGCATTCTGTAAAATTCAAATTTCGTTACCAGTGAGATTTGAACTCTTGTCCTGCCACTTGGGGGTGCAACAACTTACCAACTTCACTAAGTCACCACCTTTTTTGATAATGAATTTATATTCTTTTACCCATATATTAATAATTAAAATTTTTCTATAAATCAAATTTAAAATAATTTTAAAATCGAAATAGTTTTTCTTTCTTAATATAAAAATTCCAAAAATGTAAAAAAATTCTAAATTCGAAATTTCATTCTAAATTTGAAAAGATGAACCAATTAAATTTTAGTAATTATTACTAATTTAGTAATAAAAATTCTTTAAATATATTAAATATTTTTATAATCAGTAAAATGTTTCAGCATTGTAAATTATCAATTATTTCTAAAACTTTAATATCTTTTGAAAATAAAATGTCTAATAAAAGAAAATTTGTTGAAACAGAACTTTTTCTGAATCTCAAGAAGAAATAAAAAAACTTATACAAGAATTAAAAGAAATACAAGAATTAAAAGAAATTCAAGAAAATGAATCTCAAGAAATAAAAAAGCTTAAACAAAAATTACAAGAGAAGCAAGAAGAGCTTTTTTTTGAATCTCAAAGACTTCAAGAATTGAAAGAAATAGAAGAAAAAATACGAGAAAAAAATACAAAGAAATTATTAATAGTCTACAAGAAGAAATAATTTGTAAAAATTATTGTATTGAAAATTTAACAAATCATATTGTTTATTATAATACACATTTTGGTAAAGCATTTGAAATTTGCCAAAATTTATATGATCAAGAAAATTTATATTTTCAAGTTAATGAGGTAATTAATAATTTTACAAATGAATCATATTTATTTTCTAATGTTAAAGAAGATGCTAAAAAAATAAATGAACAAGAAAAATTTATTAATTAGAATTTAAATAAAAAACAACAAGACAGTGAAGGTTGAATTGATGAAGAGAAATTTTTTGATTATTAATTTTTATTTTATTATTTTATTTATGTATTTACTGTATATATTTTATTAAATAAATAAAATTTTATATTAAACTAAACATCTAATAAAATTTTAACTAATAGAATAATGAGAATAATTTTTAAACCTATTAAAATAACTGATTTTTTAATTCTCCTAGAAACTGGTATTGAAATTTAACATGCTGATAAAGGTGAGTAATAACAACTACTAGGAAAAATTTTAGCTCATTTGAATTGGTATTGATAGAGAAATCTACATTTTTCATTTTTTTCTATATAAAATTAATAAAAATAATAAAAAAATGTCTGATTTTTTAATTCTTCTAGAAACTAGAAACTAGTCTTGAAATTTAACATGCTAATAAAGGTGAGTGATACCAACTAGCAGGAAAAATTTCAGTTTGATTAGTTGGGTATTGATAAAGAAATTTATATTTTTCATATTTCTCTATATAGAATTAATGATAATAAAGAAAAAACATCTGATTTTTTTAATTTTTCTAGAAACTAATAGCAAAATTTAATATACTGATAAAGGTGAGTGATAACAACTAGCAGGAAAATTTTAGCTTATTTGAATCAGTATTGATAGAGAAATTTACATTTTTTGTTTTTCTCTATAGAAGTTGATAAAAATAAAGATAAAACATCTGATTTTTTTAATTCTTCTAAAAACCAATAGCGAAATTTAACATGCTGATAAAGGTAAGTGATAACAACTACTAAGAAAAATTTTAGCTCATTTGAATCAGTATTGATGGAGAAATTTACATTTTTCATTTTTCTATATAGGAGTTAATAAAAATAAAGAAAAAACGTCTGATTTTTTTAATTCTTCTAGAAACTAGTATTAAAAAATTTTAGCTCATTTGAATTGGTATTGATAGAGAAATCCACATTTTTTAAGAAAATATAAAAATTCTTTTTAATAGAGAGACGAAGTGTTGTTATCAATTTGAATATTTTAATCAAAATAAAATATTAATATAATAATAGGTAAGTTGGTAGTAATGATATTCAAGAGTTTATATATAAAATTTCAGATTAAACAGATGAATTATCATCAATTTTATTATTATGAAATTTTTTTTAATTTACAAATTAGTAAATTTCTATTGGTAATTATCATGTAATCAACATAATTGTTTATTTAACTAATTGTTTTGTTGTTTTGTTTTCTCTAGGTGTTTGTCTTTTTACACCATAGAGCATATTGTATATGAAGCAGTTCTAGATTTTGTAGAAAAATAAGACCATATATAGTTGTGGACAGCCTGACTATTAATACTATATCCCCTTTTTGTATTTTAGAATGCATCTAAGGTATTGTAGTTAATAGTCCTTGTACAGGGTTGCTGATGCTCAGTCATGAGACTATTGTCTTTATTTCTATAAGTGAGGATTGTTTTGATACAGGTTGGTGTCTATGAATATGTTCTTCACCAAAATCTTTTGATATGTAGCTGCCAAGTGATGAAATTTGTAACTTACATTTTTTTGTAAAGCTAATGATATATCATTTAAAATATTTAAAAAATTTTTTTATAATTATTATAAAATTAAATTTTTATTAAAATAAAGGACAAATTTTAGTTAAATTAGTCTGATATTGATGGAGAAATTTATATTTTTCATTTTCTCTATAGGAGTTGCTATAAATAATGAAAAAATGTCTGATTTTTTTTAATTCTTTTAGAAACTAATAGCGAAATTTAACATGCTGATAAAGGTGAGTAATAACAACTAGCAGAAAAAATTTTAGTTTAATTAGTTTGATATTGATGAAGAAATTTATATTTTTTGTTTTTCTCTATAAGAGGTGATGAAAATAAAAAATGTCTGATTTTTTTAATTCTCCTAGAAACCAGTCTTGAAATTTAATATGCTGATAAAGGTGAGTGATAACAACTACCAGAAAAAATTTTAGCTTAATTGGTTTGGTATTGGCTGAGAAATTTATATTTTTCATTTTTCTCTATATAGAATTGATAAAAATAATGAAAAAACCTCTGATTTTTTTAATTTTTCTAGAAACTAATAGCAAAATTTAACATACTAATAAAGATGAGTGATAACAACTACTAGAAAAAAATTTAGCTTAATTGGTTTGGTATTGATGAAGAAATTTATATTTTTCATTTTTTTTCTATAAGAATTGATGAAAATAACAAAAAAATGTTTGATTTTTTTAATTCTCCTAGAAACTAATATTGAAATTTAATATGCTAATAAAAGTAAGTGATAACAACTACCAGAAATGATTTTAGCTTAATTGGTTTGGTATTGGCTGAGAAATTTATATTTTTTATTTTTCTCTATATAGAATTGATGATACTAACAAAAAAACCTCTGATTTTTTTTAATTCTTCTAGAAACCAGTTTTGAAATTTAACATGCTGATAAAGGTAAATAATAATAACTAGCAAAAAAAATTTTAGCTTAATTGGTCTGGTATTGGCTGAGAAATTTTCATTTTTCATTTTTCTCTATATAGAATTAATGAAAATAATGAAAAAATCTAATTTTTTTAATTCTTCTAAAAACTAATAGCAAAATTTAACATGCTGATAAAGGTGAGTAATAACAACTAGCAAAAAAAATTTTAGCTTATTTGAATCAGTATTGGTTGAGAAATTTATATTTTTCATTTTTCTCTATATAGAATTAATGAAAATAATGAAAAAACCTCTAATTTTTTTAATTCTTCTAAAAACTAATAGCAAAATTTAACATGCTGATAAAGGTGGATGATAACAACTAGCAGAAAAAATTTTAGCTTGATTGGTTAGGTATTGATAGAAAAATTTACATTTTTCGTTTTTCTCTATATAGAATTAATGATACTAATGAAAAAACCTTAATTCTTCTAGAAACTGAACTTGAAATTTAACATGCTGATAAAGGTGAGTGATAACAACTAGCAAAAAAAATTTCAGCTTGTTTGTTGAGAATTGATAGAGAAATTTACATTTTTCTTTGTTTTTCTATAGGAGTTAATGAAAATAATGAAAAAATGTCTAATTTTTTTAATTTTTCTAAAAACTGGTATAATAATAAGATCATTTTTTTAAAAAAATATTTTTTAGTATGATATCTTATAATTTTTTTATATATTTATTATTTTATACTAAATATATAATTTTTTATATTGTTTATTTTATACCTAAATTAGCAATTTTAAATTGGGTTAAATTATTTAAATTATATTGGCCGGTGCAAAAAAGTTAATATACAAATGATGATGATAAATTTTTTTTTTAAAAATTTAATATAAGTATATGAATTTTTTAATTTACAGAATCTTGTATAACAAAATAAAGAAATTTTTTAAAAAAAATTAAAAATTATTAATATTATAAAATTTTATTATAAAAACTAGCTTTGGGCTATTAAGTAAAAGTTTTTAGCATTTATTTTTGCATATAAATAACCTATATTTTAACTTAATATAGTTTATTCTCTAACCCTAATCTTTAAATAATAATTTATTTATATAAAAAAATTCTATATATAAAAATTAAAGGTGGTTAAAATTTATAATTTTAATCAGTAGTTAAAATTAGTTAAATTCTTAATTTTAAAAAACTTTATTTTTAAAAATTTTAGCTTAATAATAAACAAAATGTTCTAAGAAGATGATTTTATGATTATTGATTCAGATTTATTTCATCAAAATTAAATAATAAATACTTTTGATAAAAATGCTCCTGGTCCTAATAATAAATCAAATGCTTATAATTTTTTTGAATATCAAAATTCAGTATAGAATTGTAAAGTCATTAATTGCTTGTAAGCTATTAATTTTATTTCGACTCTACTAAAATACACCTATGGTGTTAAACACCATATTACACAAACTATTAGAATAGCCAATTAAAATTTAAGATCAGGTGTAATATAAAATTTTGGGTTTTTTGTTTATTTTTTTAAAAAACATTAATATTTCAAAATTACACTTATAAAACCATCTTTGAGGCTCTAACAAAAAAAATTCCTTGCTAAATTTTGCATATAAAAATTCTTTTACCAAAATTTTAAGCCTTGCTCTAACCTTAAAGTAATTAAAATTTATTTTTTATTTTATTAAATTTGTTTTTTGATATTGTTATATAGATCTGTAAATCAAAACAATACCTATAATATTAAACACCATAGCAACATTTTAATTTATTTTTATTAATTTATAATAATTATATAGTAATCTTATACAAAAAAAGATACATCAACTTTTTTAAAATATATAAGAATTCATCATCCAAAACTGCTTAAAAATAATTCAAATACAGTAATATAGAAGAAATTCCTAAGGTATAGTTAATTATAAATTTGAAAAAATCAATAAAAATTTTAATTTATTTTGATTTTTATAGTTTACTCAAGAGGGATTTAAAAAATTATTAATAAATTGGATTATAGAAAATGATCAGGTATTTATTATTATCGATCATCTAGCTTTTAAAAGAATATTTAAATTTGTAAAAAATTATATTAAGATTCTATTGTCACAAACTATTAAAAATAGTTTAGATCAAAAATTTGAAGAAAATAAAAACAAAATTAAACAAAAATTACAAGTAAATTATTAATAAATATTTATTAAATTTAAAAATATTAAATAATAATCATAATTATTTTACTAATTTTATAGAATGTTTCTAAAATAGCAATTACTGTTGATACCTGGACTAGCAATAATTGCTTGCCATTTTTAGGAATTAATATTCATTGGATATCTAATAAATAGAATTTGCAAAGTATTCTTTTAGATTTTTGCAATTTATCAGGACAACATACTGGTGAATATTTAGCAAATAAAATTATAAAATCTTTAGATAATTTTGAAATTACATCAAAGGTAAATATTAAAAAATATTTTATAATTAATTTTATATTAATAAATTATTTTATTTTAATTTTAGTTATTATCAATTACTTGTAATAATGCAGCCAATATAAATTTAATGCTTAAATATATATCAGATATATTAAGTACTAAACAAATTATATTTGATTATAAAAATCAGTATATAAGATGTATTGAACATATAATTAATTTGGCTGTTAAACAAGCTATTAAAAAGCTTTATATCAATACTAATTATAATAGTGATGATGATATTTTAGAAAATGATAATTTAGAAGAATTAAATAATATAGTATATAAAGTAAGTTTAATTTTTAATTAAAATTTAATCATATAAATATTTTATATTAAATTTAATTTATTTTAAAATTAGTTAAAAAAAATTGTAGTTAAAGTATAAGCATCATTACAAAAAAAAAAAAAATTTAAACTTCAATGTATTACTAATAATACAAGATCCTTAGAACTTATTTCAGATATTGCTATTCGCTGGAATTCTACATTTTTAATAATTAAAGAGCTTTACAACTTAAAAAAGTTAATTTAATTTTATATTTATATATATAATTATAATAAATATTAATTAATTTTATAATAGGTTATTTATGAATTTACTATAAAATATGAAGAATTTAATATTTATCAATTTTAACAATTAAATAGAATTTTCTTAATAAAATTTATAAATTATTAAAAGTTTGTAATATAATACATTTTTATATTATTTATTTAAATTAATATTAATTAATATATTTTATTAGTTTTTTAAAACTGCATCTAATTTTGTTAAAGGTCAATTATATCCTACATTTACATTATATATACCTGCTTATAATTATTTATTAAGTAATATAAAAGCAATAATCAATAATAATTCAACAAATCAAACTATAAAAAATGCAGTAAATGTAACAAAAAATAAAATATTTGAATATTATCCATTTACAAATAGAAATATATATATAATTGCTGCAAGTAAGTATTTTTAATTTTTAATTTTAAATTGTTTATTATAATAATTATAATATATATTAATATAATTTTAAATTAAATAGTACTAGATCCTTGATTAAAATTACAATATTATAAAAAACAAAAATATGATGATATATTTCTTTTAATGACAAAAGATATTATTACTAATATTTGGGTTACAAAATATAAAAAAATTATTCTACTTTTGCTCATAGCAAAAAAAAAATATAAAAAGAGATATTGATAATGTTTTAGAACATGTTTTTAAAAAAAGAAAAGACGAATATAAAGATGAATTAGAAAAGTATCTTAGTAATAAAGCTTGATGAATATGGTAATCTAGTTTGTTCTTGATTCTCACATAACTCTTGGATTAATTGTATAGTTTGCTTTTCATCAT